TGTGTGTGTGTGTGTGTGTGTGTGTGTGTGTGTGTGTGTGTGTGTGTACGTGCGACTGTATAAACGCCGACCTGTGTGCAACCTTGGAGAGGGAAATGGTCTCGATGTGATGTCAGCTTTTACCGGATGGAAATATCCAGATGACGTGATCTCCATCTTATAGTGTGTGCATGCGTGTGTGCATGCGTGTGTACATGCGTGTGTTGTGGCGCCGAGCTATACTGAAAGGGCGGCGATGGAGAAGGTGGCAGGCAGGGCGCGGTGGCCTCTTGCAGGGATGAGAATAGGAAATTGGAGCCAAATGGAGATTGGTAGAAAATCCAAAAGGAAACCACATTATGACTAAATGATGAAGATATTATGGTGATGTTGCGTGTCTTTGTTTTCTGATGCTGATGAAAAAAAGATTACCGTTTGGTATTTGATGAAGCCAGAGTGAGGTTACGCAATACCAGATCTGCTGCCGTGTTTGTGTGTGTGTGTGTGTGTGTGTGCGTGCGATGTACCAGGCTTAGTACTGTCTAAAATCTGTTCTGCATTAGTTGCGCTCACTCACAGCCACTTCTCTCTTTGTCTGTCAAACACACACACACACACACACACACACACACACACACACACACGCAGATGGGTAACATGAGTAGTGGGATGGATGGAATTGCAAAATAAATACAACCCTGATCATAAAGCTGTTCCAGTTCTCATACATACATATTCCCCTGTATTTACTGTACATGTGTAATTGAATTGTGCTGTAAATCACTCTGAACAATAATCTCTCTTTCTCCAGATAACAACGGGCAGTTTGTGTTCAACGTCAAGTTCTATCCTCCTGATCCCTCACTGCTCACTGAAGACATTACCCGGTACACACACACACACACACACACGTTAGAGATGTACCAATGTTTACTTAAACCTACATGAATTGTTTTTTAATGGCCATTTCACTCTGATGTCTAAGGCCTACAAAACAAAACAAACAGACACAGGTTGGCTTTGTGCACAGTGCTGATTCATTTAAACTTGTACGTATGCATGCTCACACGCACACACGGGCAAGCATTTAAGTTGGAGTGTATGTCTAATGGGGCGAACAACTTCTCGGAGGGTTGTAGCTAAAGGCTAATCGAGGACGCACTCAATAACACGTAGTAAAGTGCCAACTGACGTGCATTGTGGGTCTCCAGTAACTATTTATCCTTCAACACTACAGGTGTGTACTTTATTTGCCTGTTCCTCTTTTGTTAAGTTTCAATAGAAATACCCGGATTCCATATATAAATGGAAAGTAATGCCTTTCATTAAAAACGTTTTAAAATTATTTTTCATTGTGTAATATTAACATGGTGAAATGCGTTATTGTGCTGGGGCAGTGAAGAGAAGCCCTGTAACTGGATGACTGGGGCTTAAGCCTCCATGTCATCAAGTCCCACCAAAGTGACTTTCAATGACATGTTTTCAGCGGTCGGCCCTCTGAGGTGTCTGAATTAGTCATTTCACACAGACGCTCCATTCACAAAATGAATTCTTCAGCAAGGATTTACAGCAGGGGACACATTACACCGTCGCTAATCCACACAACCACTGGACGACACACACGCACACGCACACACGTTATGCATCTGAGTTTGGTCGTGATGAGGAGAAGGTCATCCCTACAAGCCAGTGTACCAGCACACAAAGAAAACTGTTCAACAAACACAACGCCAACAAAGACGTCTAATCTGCCCCAGCTGACCCTCGGGCCTCACTGGAGGAAATTCGTCTGCTTGGATCGCTTTATTATTATCACGAACAATGGAGCCGGTTTCAGTTCAAAGAAGAGCTTACAACGGGTTTCAGTTGTTGGGAGTAGACTTTGTTTCAACTAAAACCCAACCTGTTTCCCCTTGTCTCTCTCTTGTAGGTACCTGTTGTGTCTGCAGCTCCGTGAAGACGTGGCTTCTGGACGACTGCCTTGCTCGTTTGTCACTCACGCTCTGCTGGGGTCGTACACGTTGCAGGTACGCGTGGGTGTGCACCGTATGTCTGCTGCTCACGCGCAAGTGTGCGGTTTCCACACGTGGCTTTACCCGCTCACTCGTCTCCGTTTCATGCATCGGTATTTGTGGTCTCCTTTTGGTTTACAGGCAGAATTTGGTGACCATGAACCCGAGCAGCCTCGGCCTCTGGACAACGTCGGTCAGCTGACCTTTGCGCCCAATCAGAACAAAGAGATGGAGGAGAAGGTTCTCGAACTCCACAAGTCTCACAGGTCGGAGGGAACGGGGTCATTTAGTCAAAAGTAATCGGGAACGAGTGTATATTTTCCTTGTCATTAAGGGCTTTAGACATGTTCATGTAAAGTAAAGGGACCATGACTGTGTCTTTTTCATATACCGTATAATTCAGACATTTTTGATTTGTGCCACTATAAGTTCCAATCTCAGGGTGTTTTTAGTAATTTGCCTTTTGTGGGTGTTTAGGGGAATGACACCAGCACAGGCCGACGTCCAGTTTCTAGAAAATGCCAAGAAACTGTCCATGTATGGGGTGGACTTGCACCATGCAAAGGTATGAATAAATCATCTTCCTCTTCCTCTCCTCCTTCTCCTCTCCTCTCCTCTCATTTGTTGTTAACATCGGGGGATTTGCACAATTTCTTTGATGTGTGTGTGTGTGTCAGCTGTACAAACACTCGGGGAGGCCGTTGCCATGGGAACAGCCAGTCTCTCTCACTGGGATAGCAGGTCATGAGTATTTTTGTGTGTCTTTGTGCAAGACAGCCAGTAAAAATGGGGGAAATATGTATGAGAGGGGGGGGGGGTCTGAAAATAGACGGAGAGGATATGTGAGATTGAGGATACAGAGAAGACAAAGACATGGCCGACAGTCAGAGACGAGGTTAGAGTGAGATGGAGAGAAAGAGCAGAGTCCCCTTTAAGGGCATGCTCCACTTGTTTGCAACACAGAGGGAGAAGCAGAGCGAGCATTTCAAATGTTGCAAATCTTTTTTTATTTCTTTCTTTCTGGCATACCAAAGTTGTGGGAATTCAAGGGGCAGATCTATTTCTGTCCTGCGCCATTAATTTGTCGTGCAAGTTTCATGAACCCTTTCAAAGGAACCCTTTCAAATACTGTAAAACGTACTAAATTATCCCAATCACACCATTCTATGTTTACTAGAAATAACATTTGAACCCTTCTGGCAAAATATGAATATTACATTTGAGCGTGTCGCAGTAGGAAAAGCACAGGTGTAAATAATTAAATTAGGGATTGCCCCATCGAGCAGCTTCAGTCTCGGGTCCTGTCTTGTGTTTACTCACAGAAACCACAAAAAAAGCAAAGTCGTACATTTTTCCACTTCTGCATCCGCTCCGTCTGTGCGTCCAAGCCAAAGTGCGAAAATGTTTCTCGACCGGGAGCAAGAGAGATCGATGAGCCGCCGGTAGCATGTCGAGGTCATGTGACATGTTTGTCCCAGTCAAACTGTCCATTATCAACATAGTGCATCCTCCATTAGCCCTGCAGACTACTCCTGTGTAAATTCACCAGCGTAATCAATACCTCCCTTACCATTTCCAGATGGCCTTGGACTTAAAAGCTTTGTCAGTGAGTTAGTCTGTCAGCTAACCATGTTAGAGTTGGACTGAAAGAGTGTGTGTGTGTGTGTGTGTGTGTGTGTGTGTGTGTGTGTGTGTGTGGTGATTGAGTTGTTGTTGACCTTAAGCTGACTACTTTAAAAATCAATTGATGTACAGTGTGATCAGATTAAGAAAAACGGGCAGCAAATACAGATATTTTCCAGAGATTAATGATTTAACGTCAATATATTTATTATTTTCTTTCACTCGTTTGACTATCGCAGGACTCTGAGGGCGTGGACATCATGCTAGGTGTGTGCGCCAACGGGCTCCTGGTTTACAAAGACAGGCTCCGGATAAACCGCTTTGCTTGGCCCAAAATCCTCAAGATTTCGTACAAGAGGAATAACTTCTACATTAAGATCAGACCAGGAGAGGTATGTACCCATGAGATTTACTCAGCCCTACGCAAGAGAATGCAGCACATGAAGTTATTCTCTGTCGTGGTGACGTAACAGAGTACTCATAACATACTGGACGTATATGGATAACATGTCCTTAATTTTTGCTGTTTATGTGTTTCTTTGACAGACGGAGCAGTTCGAGAGCACGGTGGGATTCAAACTCCAGAACCATCGGTCTGCCAAGAGGCTGTGGAAAGTCTGTGTGGAGAATCACAGTTTCTTTAGGTAGACCTGCACACTATGAAGCAAACGAGTCCAGCGTTCGCACCTGGATTTCAGAGATTTCCAGTGTGGAGTTTAGGGGATCTGATGCAGCTTGTTAAGTAACGTTCAATGGAGGAATATGTGCTTTATCGTGCTCGACAAAAGGCTCAAAGTGTTCAGAGAGAGAGTGAGTGTATCTTGTGGTTGTTTAACCAATATGGGGCCCAGGGCAATACATACACACAAAAGATAAACCAGGTGCTCGTCATTGTTGCGTTTGTATTCGCCGCGAGAGTGTGAGTGTGTGTGTATGCAAACAGCAAGGGTCCTCATCAGCGTGTGTGTGTGTGTGTGTGTGTGTGTGTGTGTGTGAGAGAGAGAGAGAGAAGAGAGGAATAAGCTTCAATATCCTGTTGAGGGAAGAGCTGCCTGGAAACGTTTTGTCTCTCTTGCACAAGTGCATATAGATGTGACCGTTATTATACTATATTGCCAAAGTAAAAAGGTTTTAAGATTCACGCTCCTCTCCCCCATTTCAACATCTGTCTCCCTCCCTGTCCCTCCCTCTATCTCGGTCTCTTGTCACGTAGGTTAACGGTACCAGAACAACCCACCAAGGCCCGCTTCTTGACTCTGGGCTCCAAGTTCCGTTACAGCGGGCGAACCCAGGCCCAGACCCGCACGGCCAGCTCCCTCATAGACCGACCGGCACCCAACTTTGAACGCACCTCATCCAAACGTATCAGCCGCAGTCTGGATGGAGGTAACACACACACACACACACACACTTTTCTCACAAAGACACACAGGAAGATGTACGTTCCATCTTCACTTTAAACAATGTTTACTGAATGGAACGACGGACAAAATGAGGAATGGAAGGAATGAGGGGCAGATGGAAGCGGGGTCGTGGGTGGAGGGTTTACATGTGGTTGTGTGTGTGGGTGTGTGTTTTTCTGTGTGTGTTTGGATGTGAAACGCGAGTGACCGACCAGATACAGGAAATAGCTACAGCATGTGTTTCCTGTCACACGGTGAGAGACGGAGAAAGGGATGGAAAGAAAGCAGGAATGTCAAAATGTCATGTGTATTTAGGAAGAAAAAAGTCCTCCACAATAAAAGAAACTCAGCATGTAGATACAGAACATAGAGTCGCTCTCAGGTCATTGCAGGGAGAGAGATGGCTCAGCATAATAATTTAACTTGGGCTAACATCTTTTTATTTTCTATATTCTAAATATTGTTGTTAAATAATAGTTTAAAAAGCCACTATCGCATCAAATGCATATCGTTTCGTGTAAAACAGCACACACCGTTTGTTTGTGGTTTTCTGGGTTACAGGCCCCACTTCATGCAGCTGTGCACTGCTGTTTCACATGTCAGGATATTCCACTAGCTTGCAATGCCCCCTGCTGGACATATTATTCCACTGCAAGCCAACAACCTTTATTAAGAATAGTTGGGATTATTTTAAGTATGAGGTACTTGTCCATCGGCGGTGTATTACCTGCAGTAGATGACGTTCGACACACTTCCAGATTGTAAAGGCAGAGAGTACAGACACAGGAGCACGGCAATGCACTGCTGTGGACGGAGGCTGGAGACAGTAAATCCAGTATCAAACTGCAGGTGGAAGAATTACAGTTTCATTGTGTGTTGAATTACAGAGAAGTTGAAAGTTATTTTTTGTCAATTTATTTTGTCTGTTTCTCATTCCTTAGCACCAAGGATCAGCATAACTGAAGCTACATCTGAGAACGGCCGCGAGCCACATCTGGAGCTCCACTCTGACTCTAAGGTGTGTTTGAGTGTGTGTGTGTGTGTGTGTGTGTGTGTGTGTGTGTGTGAAGACATGCAATATGTGTGATCAGAAAAAGAAACGTAATTCATATATAGACAGCAAGTCTTTTTGTTTCTTTGCTGTTGTCAATATATTGCTGAGAGGCCATATTGTCCCACAGGAGCTGTTTACGCGTTGGTGTATCAAAGAGACACATCATGCTCGTGGTTGACGGAATAATCAACATGTTTCTAGCTGTGACGTTTTTTGCTCGTCCTAGTGTGTACACAAGCATCACTTTTGGTTTGTAGCTTACATTTGTGTTGGAACAATGAAATGGTAACAGACGTGGAAGGAATGGCTGACTGCATTAGACCACTATGGGACCATGCATAGCTACGGGGTTTTTTGGGAGGTTTACAGGCCTTTACACACCGGGGGCGAGACGAATAAATCGCACAGAAATGTGAAACACTCCCGAGGCTTCCTCGCTTTTATTCCCTTAAGTTGTGAATATGTGTGTAAAAAAAAAAGGTACACAGACCGACAAGACTGACAATGTTAACCAGATAAATATGATTATCTTCATTTTAATGGTTTGCTTTGGATCATAACGTAACATATTTAGAGCTGCCAGGCAGGTGTACACGATTTGACACTTCAGACCCCGAGAGTGTCCTGTACCTTAGCAGGGATCTATGTCCACTGGTGGGACACTACTTAGTATATACAGTATATATATATATATATATATATATACATGCGTGTATATATACTGTATATATAGTATATTACTGTATGTTGTGCCTGCCTCCTGTTTCTCCTCCCTCTCCCCTCTTTCCCCTTTTCTCCTCTCTCCCCTCGCTCACACACCCGGCTCTGTGGAATTGACCTCCTGTCTTTAGCCTTTGGTCCAGCGGTAGCTCCCCGTCGACACCGTTTTCTGCACACATCTGTACTCTGCACACATCTGTACTCTGTACTGTGCTCCACCCTGCTGTGCTCACTTTTAACCGGTGTTTGGTGTGTTGTTCACTGACTAATGTTGTGTCTCTTTCCCCTCTCTCTCTTCATTCACACACGTCCTTTTTTTATTTTATTTCTTTTTTTGCTTCTATCACTTCCCTCTTGCGTGCCGTCATCATTTCATGAAACAAAAATATGAAATGATGTTTTTAATGCACATTGCGTCGGTTGTTGTTTGACTTCTTTGACGTCTTCACTGCTTGCTGCCTCACTTTGGATATGTGTGCACGGGTCTCTCCCTTCCCTCCCATCCCTTTTCCCTCTTCCTCTCTCCCCCGTGTGTGTTTGTCTCTCCTGCAATCCACCTCCCACCAGTCAATCTTCATGTTCCCTCTCTCCTTCTCCTCCTCATCCTCCCTCTCCTCCCTCCCCCCTTCCCTCGACACCATCTCTGAGCTCGACCACGGCCTGTCGGACATTTCCGAAGATGGCGACCTCGTAGACGCTGCCGCCGCCTCGCACACACTGTGGGCCCTTCCCTCACACACCATCTCTCTTTTCTCCGACCAGCAGTCGGCTGATCTCGAACACCTCGCACAAAACCCTCCGGCCTCCCCCCCAATCGCTAGCTCCCAAACATGCAGTGCAGAGGTTTTCCAAGTCGAGGTGGGCTGCCAGGCTGAAACCGGAGCATCAGCTGGATTACCAAATTGGTGGAGCTGGTTCTCTCTGAGGGGTGTGGTTAAATATGTTTCGTTCATCCTGTGTTTCCTCTCCGTTTGGGGGAAGAATGGAAGCAGGTGTCCGACCACTAAGCTGTTTTCAGGATTAACAAAGAAACTGAGGTTTTTTACTCAGAAGCTCACTTTCAAGTCTGCGGCTCCAATCAGGGCCCCCAAATATATCGTCGCACCCAGATTATGTCAGCTTTTTAACAGTCTGGCATTGAGATTGACTCGTTTGGTGGCATTTATCACGAGCTACCTGCCTGCTAAACTTATGAGTTTGGTTCCTGCTGTTCTTTGGCAGCCGACACGACTACGGCTGCCCGCGATTTCTTCTCTTACCTGTCCTCCAATCGTCGCTTCCTTTTCCTCTCTCTCTTCTCTGCCCTCCTATTTCTTTTCCGTCCCGTCTCGCCCCTCTCTCTCCTCCCTCTCTTGCTCCCACCTGACCCCGTCCATACACCGCTACCTCCTAAATCCCTCCCCTCTGTTCCTGCCCTGCCTCTTAGTCGTCTTCCTGTTGGCCGTGATGCTGACAGCGAGCCAGTCCTTGGTCTTGGCCCTGATATTAGCCACGCCCCTCGGCCTGACCCTGTGCTACCTAGAGAACGTGGTCTCCTGTCAACGAAAGGCAGTTCTGCCAACGTGTATCTGTAAGACGCCAGACGCTCAGTCGGAAGATCAGTTAAGCTCTCCGCTCACACCGGCACACACGCCTCCACGCGTCAGGCACCACGCTCACACCAGCGCTACCTGGACGCAAGAGATGTGCGATCCTGCCGCATAAATACACCGCACACACCTCTACCGCTCCCCTTTACTTTTCCTCCTCTATGTTTAAATTGTATGTCCGTACATTCAGCCCCGCCTCCACCTTCCTTACCTGATATTTTCTGCTTTCCTTCGATCCCTGCACCCTGCCTACCCCACTGTATTGTTTATGATAAAGGACAAATATTAGAATAAGAAGGATTAAATAAACTATTAAGACTCAGAGTTTTGGATAAATAGAGAAAATATTATTACGCTTTTAATGTAGGGGAAAAAGAAAGGTATATTAAGAGATTTAAATACTGTACAGAGACTTTAAGGGCAGGATGAAAATACAATAACATTTAGTGATGGGCAGAACACATTTTGAGAGTCGCTTACACACGTTTTAAATCTTTTATAATGAGCCATTATTAGTAGAAATAATCCGCAGATTAATGTCACTCTCACCAAACGAAGCGATGTAATGGTATAAATCGATAATATGTAAGATAAATGAGAAACTAATTTTATTTTTGCCTAAATTTTCAGTTGCTCTATTTTGCCTTTGTAGTGCAGAGAAAGATTAGTTGTTTATTAGATGTTATAACTGTACATGCAGATAGATGCAGTAAGCTCCCCAAACCTGTAGCACAGAAAGCTGGTTTGCATATTATTGCTCATGAATGTTAAGAGTAAACAGTGTTACACTTCCCCTGAGCGTCTCACTGTTTTAAGTAAAACTATGATATCATTTTTGTGGTGGGCTTTTGGCGTTGTCCGTGGTCGAATGAAGCTGCTGGTGCAGATCGAACAGACGTGATCAAAACACAAGACTCGTTGGAAAGAACACTGAAATATTCTGCTCATTGCCAGAATAACTTTTTATAATTAAAAGTCTACTGAGGTGATGGCTGGCCTCTGGTGGAAAACATCGTAGCACCAAGAGAGTAGTTAAATCATCATCCTCGTAGCGTTTGTGTCCTTTAAGAACCTGCAACTACGGTAGTGGTGGCATTTTACTCGTTGTAGACACCGTGGATGGGTACTTCATCCACGGTTCTCTGTACCTAAACAGTTGTTTCGGAGAAACATAACATACGTGTCGTGTAGTAGAAATACACTTCGACACAGAGGAGAGCGGCCCGTAGCAGCTGATGCCTCCCTTTATTGGCCATCTCAGACTCCGTCCATGTTACTGCTCCTGTGGTCACATGACCAGCAGCGCTCCCTGACACCGAGGTTGCTGGGGGAAGAAACCAGCTTTTCCCATCATCCATTTCACACTTTTGCTTTTTGTCTTCGCGCCCCTACCCTCCTCATTTTTGTCATTACGACGTTGAAGGTTAAGGAGGTGGACTTGAGCCCTGGTGATGCGGAAGCCACGCCCACCCAGGTCTGTAGGGTCCGTCTTTACCCAGCATGCTTTGCAAATGATCTTGCCAAGAGCTAGAGTGAAGGTGTTTTTTTTTTTTTAAGATATTGAAGGGAAATAGGTTGTAATGGTGGAGCGGAGCACACATGCAGTGAACCTAACCTGTCCTCACTCTCTCCCTGATTTCGCCCCATCAGCAGTCACTGGGAGCCAGTGAGCTCGCCCTCTCTCAGGTTCACACACTATTATTACTGCTTTGATTGTTTTGATTTGGTCTGTCAATCATTCGCTCGGTACGGTTTGGTTTGTTGGTTTGGTTCACATCTCTTTTCGGGTGAAGTTGCCCCAACATGACGACACAGAATCAGTTTTTTGTAATTTCTCAGCTACCTAAAAATAATTCTGAATATTTACATCGACAACTGATGATATGAAGTTATACATTTGTCTATAATAATGCTGTTTGTTTTCAGATTGGTTCTGAGTGTAAAAACTGATCCTGAACGGGCACTTTCACCCAAAATCCTCACTTTTGCGGTTGCTCTGCTGTGGCTTCTGGTTCTCGGTTTCAGTTTGGTTTCTGGTTCATGTCTGTGTTTCATTCTCGTTTTTGGGGTTTTGCTGAAAGCACATTGGGGGTTTTGGGGTTTTTGTACATTTCTATTGGTGTTGCTTTGGAGATTTTTTATGTGTCAACATGGGTATAAGTACTAGCATCATAACATTCAATGAATGAAACCAAAATGTTGTTAACTTGTGCTTGTACCCATCTTCCAGCCTTCACAGTTTGAGACCTTTTGGCCGTGTCACCACCTCAATTTTTGTTTCTTTATTTCTTTGTTTACACTCTCAATTATTTAGTTGATTGTTCCAAATTTTACATTATTTTGTAGAGGTAAAACAAAGTACATAACTTTTTTTTAATTCATTTTCTCCATTTCATTTTCCACTGTGTGTCTGCCTTCCAGAGTCCAATGAGAGTGCATGGGGACAATATTTATGTGAGGCACAGTAATTTAATGTTGGAGGTTGGTACTGGCGTCGTCTGATGGCTGAATATGAGAACTACATGTTTCTGTGTACTCTTGACGCCATCAGAACTACAACTCCCTCTGAACTGTACTACACTGTACAAGACTGCTGCCCTCTCGCACTCTCAGGCTCTGTTGCATGCCTGTCTGTGGATGATTGAATATCGAGTTTTCGCTCAGCTGTTTCCTTTTTGTTTTATATAGTATGAAAATGAATTGATATCAAATGGTTTCAGTGCTAATTGTCCTGTTTCACATCGCAGCCGTTTTGAACACAGGCTTAAAAACATGACTCAGAATGTTGCCATCAATTCTATTTATAACAAATGTTTTATCATCAGTTCATTAAAGGGTTGTGTTACTTTGACAGGAGTCGCTCACAGCGACAAAGCCACAGAGTTATTCTACACCTCCCATGAGATCTACGAAGCGTTTTAGCATCTTTTAGCTCATTGTTTTGGTTTTAATGGCCCGATTAGAGGTTCTGCTACAGTTCCTAGATCAGCAGCAATCCTGCTTGATCGGATCAGATCAGGTACGTTAACTGGAGGTGATCCCAGAAGAATCCCAATCCCGAGTGCACCACAAGGGAACTAAGATGTTTTCAGTGTTGAATCTATGAAATGCAAAAATATGTATTTGATGTGTATCTTGCTACACAACAGTACAGTCGAGGCTTTCTCTTCCAAGAATCTTCCCAAACTCAGTGTTCACAATAGCTGCTTTGTGAATAGGGTCAGCGGTGTGTCAACGTGACTGTGTTGCATGCTCTGTGCATGTTGAATGCTGTTTTTTGTGCGCTTTAAAAAAAGAAGGAAATCTTGTGACAGTCCTTGATTGATGAGAAAGTCTGAATATTGGCAGGCGGCTGCGTCTAACCTGACTAACCCTGCCTCACTAACTCCCACGAGGAGCTCGCCTCCTGTTTCCTGGTGATTGGCTGCCAGCGTTGAGTGATGCATTTGATAACTTACTAAAACAACAACAACTTTTTATGCGACGTGGGACTGATGGTGATGATCTGTAGTCTTTATAGTGTGTAGTATTATACGCTGAGGGATTGGAAGACAAAAAAGTATGTATTTTCTTAACGACGTATAGAAGAGTACGTTTCAAGAAGGAAAATCATTTTCATTTATGGTCCAATCAGTTGATATCTGAGGAAAATGTTGATCATCTCCTCCAATAATAGATCATTGTCTCCGATTGAATCCTGTATTCTAAAAAAAAAAAAAATAGATGCAGTGGAAATGGAGGGAAAGAAAATGGCAGAGGATAAGAAAGAATAAGGAGATAAAAAGAACAGGACAGTAGTGACTGATTAAATAATGAATCGGTCACATGGGAAAGCAGTGAAGGAGGGAGATGGACCACGATCAGCTCCATGTTGTGCAGTCTGCACTGCTGTTCCTGGCCTGATTTAAAGGAAAAAACTCCTTAACAAGATGGAGAGACCCTGTTTCACTGTAGCCTGCTTATAAATACTCACATACACACACACACACACACACACACGTGTGAACAAAACACGGGTGATGAAAGCCAAATATAAGATTTCAGACCCCTTTAAACGAGGCTCCAGTGAGGCATGGTGTCCATCTTGTCTTCCTCCTGATTGACACACTAATGTTCCTGTTTTGAACCCAATTTTCCCCTCCCCACATCCCTCGCTCCTTTTATCCTCCTTCCTCCCTCTCTCCTTTCCTTCCTCCCTTCTCCTTTCCTCATTCCTTCTCCCATTACATTTCTCTTCATCTGGCTATCTTTCCTTTCAAACCTCTCTTTACTCCGGCCTTTACTTGTCGTCCCTCTATTGTCATTCATTTCTTCTGATTCTCTCTCTTTCCTCTCCCTCTCCCCTCATCTATCCCACGTTCCTACCCTTCCCACCTCTGCCCCACATCCCAAATCTTATCCCACCGCCCATCATCCCTCATTTATTCGCACTCATCTCATTTACTCTCCTCCCCCCCCTTCTTCCCTCCCCCCTCCACTCCCTCATCAGGACCACGATAAGACCCAAGAAGACGTTCTGAAACACCAAGCTAGCATTAGCCAGCTAAAACGCTCCTTTATGGAGGCGCCGCCTCCCTCTCCTCCGCAGCCCAACCAGTGGGAGAATCGCCTCACCTCCTCTCCCGCAACGATACGTATTCAACAGCAACAGCAAGTGGTACGTCTGTCTGGATGTGTCTGTGTCAGAGGAGATGCGTGAGGCATTTCACTTCAGGTGAAATGTTCTCTGTTTGTTGCAACAATGTGGTTTTTATTAGAAAGAAGTTCACATCTCATGCTTTTGCACCTGATTTCAAACTCTAAGTCGTCTCCTCTCTCGATCTTAAGTGGGCGTTTTCATTTGATGCTTTCTCCATGGTGGGGGGTTTATAGCTCATCATCACTTCATGGACTTTATGGGTTTTCTTTCTTCTTCTGTAGAAACTGTTGCACTGCTTCAATTCTTTATTTCTTTTCAGCTGGTCTTACTTCACATTTTACATCATTTTTTTTCCTGCTGTACAAGTTTTTTCTGTTTCATATTCTGCTGTTTTCTGATCTCCTAAACAAATGTGTTCCATTCTGTTCTGGTTTATACGATCATTACAAGACAGAGACGTAAAGCTTGGCTGCTCTCTCTCTGTGTGCGTATTTGTTTTTGTGTCTTATGTTTGGGGATTTCCTTTCTATCTGTCGTCTCTCAAACCTTTTCTTCTCTCTTCCCCTCTGCGTTCTGTGTTTGTGTTTTGCTGTAGAGCCTTGAAGAGGAGATAGCTTCTGTGCTTCTCAGTAGACACTCTGGCTTTTGTTCAGCTCCATCCGCCTGCAGTGTCGCTGAGCCGACTCTAGATGGCGATATAACCACATCTACTGCTTCACATCTCACTGCTGTCTGCAGCGCCGCTGCTCCACTCTCTGCCACTGAGGTGCTGCTACTGAACATTGTAGGAGTCGGGGTTTACTTTCAGTTCAGTCGCTGAAAGTACATTCAGACCTCCTGTAATGCCTCAGTGAATTAAAGATGCTTCCCACATGTGTTCACAAACTGCACTAAAGAGACGCGAGTTGTCCACAACGCCTGCTGTGGACGCTGGATGAATGGTAGTTATTTAGTATCGGGGACCATTCATCCTGAATAATGGGCATGGTAAATCTAAACTAAAGCGACTAACAGCTGGGAATGCCGTGGATGTTAGGACATCCTCTTGTTAGTTTTGTGCTGTTGATTGAATGGCGTTTTTAATAAAACCTGTTCTTTACCAGCTCCTTTAGGGGGGGAAATAACTCTAAAAAGCAGCAGGTATTGAAGCAGCAGTTTGTTTCACTGCATACGCTTTTAAAATGGCACACAGGACATTTCAAAGTCCAAACTAAATTCATTACGGCATGCCATGTTTTCTGTGGTCATCCACATAAAGAAACTGCTGCCTTCACTACCATGCTCCTTTTATTGTTTTATCTTTTAAGATAAGCTTCTGTGTTCACTGATGGGGATTTCCTCTTTCCATGGATCTTCTTATTCTTCTTTTCAAACTCTTTCATCCCGTCTCTTTGGCCGCCTGCTGCGATTAACTTGATGCTGTATGGAAATCAACTTGATTGTGCATGAAAGACTCCAGGGAGATAGAAGGATGGAGGATCCATACAACACATCCATCCCTGTCCTCTGTGCCACTGTAACGAGCACCGCAGTGTCACCTCGGTGACGTTAAGTGCTAACGATGATGATGTCGTCGCTGCTTTGTGTGTGTGTGATTGATTGTCACGGTAACTTTTCTGTCACGCAGGAGAGCGAGCCCGAAGCGGAAGCAGCTGCTGCCGATAACGCGATCTCTGATACCAAAGAACCGGCGAAGGTGGATCTAACTTCCTTCTATTACTCCATGCAGCCTTCCATTCGTGGCGCTTCCACCGTTTCCTTCATGCCTCCATTTTCCTCTGGCAGCTTGAAATGCCAAAAGCTCCCACTGCAGCCGTCCATTCTGTGACTCCTCACTCTTACATCTTTGTGCCTCTTTGTCCACAGTTGAACGTCTTCATCTTCACTTTTCAGTTCAGATTTTTGTTGTGTATTATATTGATTTTCATTTATTTATGTTCAATGATCATTTTCTGTGTTTTTTTTTTTTCTGTCCCCATGCGTTTGCTGTGTATGTGTGTGCACCTCATTGCGTGTGTCTGTGTACGTGTGTGTGTGTGTGTGTGTGTGTATAGACAACCGAAGTTGAAATCGAAGAAACCGTTGTCGTCCAAGAGGTTTCCGTAGCACCCAAACCCGGACTTGTCACGGTTACGACCAGCTCCCCTGCTGGCCCACCTGCAGAGCAGGAAACACTAGAGCAGGAAGTGACAGTTGAAGTGGAAGTAGTGGTAGTGGAGGAAGCGAAAGCAGCAAAGCAGGAGAGCATTTCCTCTGAGAGCGAGAGCGAAGAAGAAGCCGAGTACCATCCAAACGTCTCCATCTGCCATACACAAATACCAGAAGAGGAGGAAGAGCAGCAGCAGCAGCAGCAGCAGCAGCAGCAGCAGCAGGAGGAAGAGGAGGATAAGACAGCGGAGCAGGACGTGTCGGCTCCAGACGCTCCTTCCCTTCCAGCTGAAGTCGGTCAACCTGTAGAGGCGACCAGTCGAGAGGAAGAGGAGTCCAGGAACAAGGACGCAGAGGAGGAGAAGAATGCCGAGGAGGAGAGGGAGACGAAGGAGAGCGCCGATGATCCAGAGATGACACCAGACGAAGCCCTGAACGGTCACACCCTGCCGGAGGAGAGCGTGACCGCAGAGGAAGAGCCCAAAATGAACGGAGAAGTCTTTCTGGCCGAAGCAGAACACCGGCCACAGGTTATTTGTTGCTCTGAGGTAAAGTCTTCACTGGGCCGACTGCGGAGCTTCCCACCGGGCTTTGATCCCTCCTACCAGCTGTAGAAACACCCAGATTCATTTTGTTTCCTCCTTCCTGCTTTCCACAGTGCCGGTTTCCTTCCTGCTTGCATGTATATTTAAGCCCCATGTACATCCTCACACTCACGTTTGTTCTATGGAAACCCCCTTTAAGCCTAAAATGAAAGAAGTCCAGTTAAAAACAGACTCATGAAATGAAATCATTACCAGTGTTTTGGTGTCAAGTTACCATCTCCTGCACAGTTTTTCACCATACTCGTATATATATTTTAAGTTCTGTGTTATCCACTATCCTCATGCTTCATACCATTATCACCATGCCTAGTTCTCTCCTGCTGCACATAGTGTGGTGTGTTGCTGTTACTGCCTCCTGCTCTGCCTCCTGTATTAGTGTTGTGAAGTAAATGGGGCCTAAGTGGAGGATGCATGATGCTCTGCATGCCGCATTTCAGCGTGTGTGTGTGTGTGTGTGTGTGTGTGTGTGTGTGTGTGTGTGTGTGTGTGTGTGTGTGTGTGTGTGTGTGCTTACTGTGTTTGTGTCATTACTGTGTGTCCACCACGTGTTTGGCAGTGATGCTTCCGGTTGGCTTTTTTTTTTTTTTTTTTAAATTGGCCCCATCACGGTCGCCATGGTAACGGCATTGTGGAAATCCTCATTGCCAAGCACTTGGGGAAAATGCCACCCAGCCATCTGCACGTCATCGCGCATGCTCGTTTACATATCAATCGCCGCCTTTGTTTTGAGCGCCGCTTGTTTCGTGGGCTCGCGTGTCGTGCATGTTCGTACAGGTTCGTGCTGTGTCGTACTTTGGAGTCACACGTTGACACCAAAGATGTTTTTCCGTTGCCGTACTGCTGTTGTAGCTGTCGCTTGTGCATCGCTGGAAGTAGTCGTTGTCGTATTCTGCGTCTCGTGATGTGTACTTGCATGAGTTTGGAAGCTCTCGATTCTTTTTTTTTGCATGGGTTTTGTTGCATTTACTCGCAAATATTGTGTTTTCCACATCTACTACTACTGCTATGTGTACCACTTTTGATGATAATTAAATTAAGCACACATTTTCATATTGACTTTGAAGTGAATTCCAAAGCTAGTTCGTAGAGACCAACGTGTTTCCTTAACTGTCTCAGGTCTGATGTATTAACCCTCTCTGTATTCATCCTCCCCCCCTCCTCACTTCTCTCTCTCGTCCCTCCCCAGCCACCTGTGGTAAAGACAGAAATGGTGACTATATCAGACACGTTTGCGGCCCAGAAAACTGAGATAGCTACAAAGGAAGTGCCCATCGTACACACGGAAACCAAGACCATCACATACGAAGCCGCACAGGTGCACGCTTAAGAAACACGGGGAGCCTTTCTTCATCTTGTCCTTTTCCTGTGCCAGCATTCATATTGTATTTGTGTGAAACATTTAGATGTCATCATTATTTTAAGGCTTATTAATTTTGAAAGCGTGTCCAAAAAAAATCTTCTTTCCCAGAAACTATGCATGCCGGCGTTATATAATCCCTTCCTCCTCAGGGAAATCATTTATTAGTTTGGGAGAAGAGTTTATTTTGAACATCAAACATCCGATGGTGAAACTCTAATGCTGATGCACGGCTAATGATCTCCCGTCGTTTCCTCTGTTATCAGCTGGATGGTAATGGCGATGGCGAGCCTGGAGTGTTGATGACTGCTCAGACAATCACCTCTGAATCTCTGTGTACCACCACAACCACACACATTACCAAGGTACACACACACACACACACAATATCCTCTTCTTCTGCCCTGATGCGTTATGACGTTGCATCACTTTCATCAGACACATTGAAATATATACACAGTGTTTGTACTCTTCTGTCATTTCACTTTGTTTTGACAGTTTCTCTCCTGTTTTGTGATATTTCCGTCTTATCTGCTCTGACATGTTATCACCACTACCCGGGCGGCTCTTAATAGTTCATAATGATCCCATCATAACGGGCGTCAAAGCATTGCTGTGGTACGTTTTGTTGCAGACGTTAAAGGGCGGCCTATCGGAGACGAGGATCGAGAAGCGCATCGTCATTACTGGTGACTGTGACATCGACCACGACCAGGTCAGTATCCCAGTCAGCGCATACCCACGCCGAATTATACAACTTTTTTGGGGATATGCTGAAGCTCGACTGCCAGCCAAATCTTTCTGGTTTCTTAAGTGAATACGTTCCACTCGTGTTGCCCACAGTCTGAATGCACAATGGGATTTATTAATCATGAAGACATGCCATTAGTCCCACTCAGATTCCACTCGTCCGTCTCTTCACTTATTCATCCATGCATCCAGAGTTTTGCCTCCTGCTGTCTCATTTTGCTGCTCGTCTTTGTCTTTGATTGTCAGATTTCTACATGTTGTCCCAGATGTGATGAGTGCTACATCACATCTGGGTTAGTGCGGTCCAAGTGCATTTGGTCAATGACACCGACATTTGTTCTGTTCACAAGCATATTGGATTTTAAAATATAACTATGAGCTTGAAGTGCAGATTTCAGCCTTAATTTGAGGATCTTCCCCCAACATTAACCAACATCAGTGTCTGTCCCCTTATTGTAGACGTAACTGGGCCAATGTGCAAGGCCGGTTTTGCAACCATCAACACTTATGCATAGAAATTGGGAGAGAACTTTAAAATTGGGTACGCTGTTCTCCCAATATGGTTGCGAACACTCAGAACAATATCAATGTGTCATTGTCCATATACATGCAGACTGGTCTGATTTTTAAAAAAAAAAATAAATAAATAAAAAAAATATATATATATTTTGTAAACCTGGCCGAGTTAGTTAGACATTTCAGATATTTGAAATATGGGCGACCCTCTGCTGATACTCTTATGGGTGGCTTTCACTCCAGAGGAAGTTGCATGCAACGCCCTCAAAACATCTCAAATATTTGACAAAGAAAGAAATCTATTCTCGTTGTGGATCTTTATGCACGATCCCTCGTCCACTGGTTTGTTTAAGTTGCCTGTCTTGTTTGATTTGCTGGATTTACATTGATTTTTCCACTTGATGTGTCTGAAGGTATTTTACTTCAACCAGTCCCCCCCCATTATTAAACATTCAGTTAACCCAAAGAAGTAAAATAGCACAAGTCACATCGATCGTAAATCCAGCATTCTTTGTCATTTTTCTTTATGCCTCTTATTTAATTTTTCATTTAACTCCACCATTTTCCCTCCCTCCACCTCCTCCACTGCCCGCTGCGCTCGGTGCTGCCACTGTGTGGTTGCCCCTCGGTACTGCAGGCACTGGCCCAGGCCATTAAGGAGGCCAAAGAGCAACATCCTGACATGTCTGTTACCAGAGTGGTGGTTCATAAAGAAACCGAACTGGCTGAGGAGGAGGATTGACTGAACTCAGGTAATAATAATAATAGTAACCCTTTTATTATTATTATTATTCGTAATATTGGAGGTCTTTATTAACAGCGGGGGTGCATACAGTGGTTTATTAACTGGCGAACTGAAAATCAATGAGCTGGAACAAAACAAACTCCCACACATGAAGCTGCTAAAACCATCAGCCGCCGTCACGGTGTGAAAGGAGTTGAAGGAAGAGAAAGGAATGTTCCATGTAGGAAGGTAGGCAGTGGCTGATGGAGGTCTGTGTGGAGGACAAAAGGAAACATTTCAAGTAGGAACACTAATGTTGAGTGCCAATCATCACGCCACTCAGGCTGACTGCCTTCACCTCTATTTTCCCAGAGTTGAAGGGCCCATCAAGACAGTTCTCTCTGACGCTGAACGACCTCATCAACCTACGACAACCAACCTTGACTGACTGAAGAGGAGGAGGAGGAGGAAGAGGAAGAGGGGTAGACAAATGGGAGAGAAGTTGCCAATCTCTTCCCAGTCGGTCTTTCTTACATGTCTGTGGTGCGTCTAAACACCTTCACTCCAAAAACCAAGAAAAACAAAAAAATAAAATAACATCCCCTCTCTCTCCGAGGGAACAAAAAAGAACCACTTCGTTAGCTTAATATTTCTAGCGTGTTTCTATTTTTTAATTTCTTTTCTTCTTTTAACTGTTTTACAAGTTGAGATGTAGTGTGTCCGTCGTGTTCAAAGTGTAAAGCTGCAGGAATGCACCGATGACCAATCCTGATGGGATATCAGACTTTGTCTCTATCAGAGATTGTTGTATCATTGTACGGATTATTTCCCAGTAACAGTGACTTCAATAACTCATTCACTCAAAAGTCGAAGCAAATTTAACTTCTGTTCATCTATAAAAAGATGGCGATCTGAAATAGAGAAAGCTTTATAATAGTCATTATTTGGTCAGAATGTGATTGTACTCGTTTGTTCCGTATCAGCAAAGTGGTATTGGTACATTCCTAAAAAAAAAAAAAAAAAAGTTAAATTACAGCTCCCTCCCTCCCTCACTTCACTATGTTGTAAATGGAGAGTAACATAATATAACACGGTGTTTTTAAACTTGTTAAAGTAACAATTAGGACTTCAGGAAACACAAAGACACAACCTGATTTTTTTTTTTTACTTTTTCAAAGTGTAACTTAATCAATTAGAAGCTCAATGGGAGAACACTATCACACTTTATTACTAACAATTACAGGAGACGGGGAGCTGTAACTTAAAATATTGCAGTAAAAACCAATCAACCAGTTTTTTGAATTTTTGTGATTCTGTCTTGTTTTCAGTTTTTTTTTTTTTTCTGTAAGTTTAGTTCTCATTCATCCACATTCCGTGTGCGTTGACCAGCAGCTTAGTGAGTTCATTTTCAGTTCAGTTCACTTTTTACTCCACTCTAAGAAGAGAAGACATTTTACCATTTACAGTAGGGAATGCACATTGACATTTATTAAGCTCGAGAAGCCAAAAGATGCAGGCGGAATTAATCCCTTGTGATGTATTTGTGAGTTTTACTGTATTTTAGAGTTAATTTTTACTAAATGGACTGAAAATGAACTGACTTTAGAGCTGGTGTGTACAACTGTCTGTACAGTGAAAATAAAGGTTATTAGATGGGAGCAGTAACGCAGCTTTTTCAGTAGCTAAACGCTCTCCCTGGGCCCGCCCACATTGCGACACTAGCCATTCCCATTGGGCCCCAGGGGAGCGAGGGAGCAGTACACTGACTTGTGATTGGGAGAGAGGACCAGTAAGTTGAAGCATAACTGGGAGATAGAGGCTTAGATGCATGTTGCATGTTACGCTCTGACGAGGGCAAAATTCACTCGAGTTATTTTGCATCCTGAAGCGAGTTAAAGCCGTTTTGATATTTTTCACACAATCTGCAATTCAAGCACAGGTACCAAAATGAGGACATAGAGTGGGAACAGCAGTTCTGTCCAAAATTCAGAATAATGGGATTTCTTCCAGTTTGCTAACTCTGCATCGGAGCCCGTCTGTCGTCATAGTTCAGCACTTAATGTCACTCCCAGTTTCCTTACATACCAGACTAGATAATGGCAACGAACCCCTTCTAGATACAATGACACCTGGGAGTAAATTCAGCATGTCGTCACACATGTTTTTATCTTGAGCGAGTCTGGATAGGAGGCTACTGTGTTGATTTGGTTTGAGAGTGTGTAGATAACAGATTATCTCGGCTCATACAGTACGTCGACATGAGATTATCTTGGCCCTGACGCCGGCTGTGATGTAACTGTTTTCACCGCAAACCAAATATTCTTCAGCATTAAAGTGGTTTTATGTTTTTGGCCCGTTTTCAAAAATGACATTCGGTTGTATTTTCTACATTATTTGAACACACACAAAGCATAACGCTCTGAATCTGCCGGTGCACTACGAACAGACACGGTCACAACATCACAGTGAAACGCAGCTTAAAGGGAAGTGGATCCGAGGGGTTTGAAGTGCTCTCTCGAAACCCCCTAAAAGGAATCGCGTGATGTTTTATTCATTTTCGGCGTCCTTTTTACCCAAATGTTCCACAAAAATGTGACTTTGTGTAAATATCGGTGGCATTAAATGAGTTAGAACGAGGTGCTCGGAAAAAAAAACACATTTTCCTGAAATTGAAACTGCTTGTAAGCAAAGAAGTGCCCACAGATTGACACGAGAACATTCCACCTGCACCTGCCTAGATTTGCCTCAACCCTCCAGTCACACTGGACATGGAGGCATTCGTCCCTCTTGAATGAGGAAATACTAACGCACATTCTCCACATTTTGAAATAGCATGTACCTCGTATTTCAGCCCCAGTTTAAGGCTTTCTCTCTGGACTGGACCGGTAATGACAGTCCAGGCTTTCTGTTGGGGAACACTGGTCTGACCTCTACTATGCAGTGAAATCACATTCCAGATGAGGGGGCAGCTTTAACCTCTAACCCTCTTGTAAAGAGACAAAGCAGCAAAAAAAAAAACATTCAAAAACAAACCGTGCAACATGAGGCAGCTTTGGAAGCTTTTGCTGTTCCAAAAAAAAAAAAAAAAAAAACTTTAAAAATAGCATCAGTTATATCACAACTATATTTGTAGACTTTCTGATAATTCGTTGTCTTTTCTCTGTGATCTAGTTGCGGTAAGGTGGGATGTATTGTGCGCCCGCTTGGATGTTTTATTTTTGGACTTTAAAGGAACACCACTTCAAATATAAATGTTGTCCACCATTTCATTTTTTTTGTTTTTGTACTGTTAGCTCCAGGTTTGACCTGTTTTGGGGGTCCGGGCTCTGTTTTAACCAATCTCAGGAGCTTTGTGAGCGGCAAGGGGTTGGCTTTCCAAAATGTAGAATTTGATATGAAAGTCATTTTTATTTAGACAAAAAAAGACAGCGCGGACAGATGATGATGATTCTACGCCAGCTGATTTATAAACTGTCAGGATCTCAGCGTGGTAACATGTTTGGGGTCAGTGTTGCGTGTAAAATAACACAATGAATTGCTATCAGATGGGATCTAATTAATAACACTTCTTTCCGTATGATGTTTTAAAAGGCGAATGATAATTGGACTACCTTCTTCTTTACAGTTACATCTCAGGCGTTGTGCCACGGATGAAGCAGTGTCAGTTGATACCAGCATCATTTTGTATTTCAGTGAGTTAAAACTCCCAGAAAAAACAACTTTGTACATAAACACGTTTTGGAAAACCAACCACAGCTGCCTCACCGTTTCCTCTTTAGCCAGCCGATGATCACCGGTAGGGTTTGTCTATCTAGCAGCTTGATTGTCTTGTGTCTCCCCACCCACAGCCACTCCTCCCCTGTGTAACACTGTTTAAATAAAGGATTGTTATACTCTGAAACCTGTTGATCAGATCATTTATTCATTCATTCGTGGCGTCATTTATTGATATAAACTTAAATCCTGCTTGTTAATGTTCATAAAACTAGCCAGTGTCTCGTATCTTCAGCTCAGGTTGACTATAATAATGAAACGTAAGGGTGCAGTTATACAACAGTTTCTCAAACTTCGTCCCGAGCTTTAATAAGAGGGTAAAAATAAATACAGCTCTGGACAATACAGAAGGTCACAGACAGTTTTCTTGATAACTTTCAGATGTTTTAAAAACAACAGACATAATTCCATGTCTTTGACAAGCAATGATTTCCTTTCCAGCATTCATCTTTTGTAAAAGCACCTTCATCATGACCCTCCCTGCTGGTGTTAACAGTCACATTTCTCTGTAGAGCTCCTCCAGGACTTCACTTCAGCAGGTTTCAGGTGTCCGGTCTGTTGATGAAGTACGTGTCTCCTGTCAGGTGTGAGTGTGCGACCCGACACTCCTTGTCCTCTGGTGTGTACTTCTGTATGTCTGCCTGTAGATGGCCCTTCTGTCTTGCAGACACCACGACGGATCAGCCTCTACTGCGGTGGACGAAAGGGAAAAAAACTGTCTATGAACTGAGGAAGGGGAACCAGTTGGAGGACGAAATCCAACTGGAGGCTTTAAATTGACTGCTCATCTTATTGATGACAGCATCCCCAAATACATATTGTAGTAATTGTTAATCACGAATTGGGGCTAATCTAAAGAAGGACTATGTTAAAGTACTTTTCACTTTCATAAATCCAGCAGTAGTGGAAGCAGATGATGAAAGTGGACTCATGATCATAATCTTGGATGTGTCCATGACTGAGTGTGTCAGTATTTTATGTCAACGCACATTACAGCGGTGAGGTTCACCCATCAAAACACTTATCGGAGCACACAGACACAGACGGATGAAAGAAAAGGAATTTTCTCCAATGTGTTTATGCCACTAAAATCTGCAGTAACTCCCCGTTAACACACACGTATGTACGAACACACACACACACACAAACCAGGCCAGTATAACTAATCATCTCAGTGATCAGTATCTTCACAGTCGAAGTTAGTTTCATCCTGAAAACATCACTTTGCCAAGTTTTTTGTTTTGGTTTTTTTGGAGCCTATTTTGGATGCTTTTCATTATTTATAGAGTGTAGCTTGGTTTCGGGGCCCCGAGACATTTCTTCTACCTGCATGAGCAACATGAGCTGTCAGGTGTTGTTCAAAAGACGACGTGAATATGAGACTTCTACAAGACATGGTGGGTTGTCTGCGTGTGGCTGCAGATACAATGGCACACTCCATGTTTTTTCTGTGGATGTTGACGCGCATGACAATATTTTCTTGACTTTGGCATGGTGTATAGCCACAGCAATTGGTGGCATGCAATATTAATCTCCCCTTTTGGAGTACATTTTTGTGCATAAATCCTTACAATGTGGTGATGCGTGTATGTATTTATAGTATGGCCCTGGAGGGAGATGTGTCCCTTTGGTGTCCATTTAGCTGCACAGCACCATGAATGTAACACAGCAAGAGGTCGTGGATCATGTGCTAGACATGTAAAGGTAATGACATGCCCAGTGCCTACCCTGTCTGAGCTTCCAGCTGAGGTAGATAATCAGCTGCAGCAGCAGCAGACAGACGCACAGGAACGGCAGCAGGCCAAACACCCAGAGAAGAAGAAAGCTGTCTGTCTCTCCGTCTGTCTGTCGAAGGAGCAGAGCCAGGTCGGCCCAGGGGCCACTCAGCACCTCCATGCTGCTCCTGCATGGGAGGAAGCAAGCGGAGGAGAGAGGAAGTCAGGATTATGTTTATGATGCGATGCCTGAGGCATGATCAGATAACACTTCATCTAGCGACGCAGAGGTCAAAAGACATCTAGGCACATACAACACTCGTTCAAATAGCATATCAGTTACTTAATGTGAAGCAGGTCCTATCTAAATGTTGAATTTAGTAGGGTGGGAATAAACCCTGCAAAGGTACTTGAGCAAAATACACTTACAGATGCAAAGTATTTCTAAGAATAAACTGCAGCGAGATGTTACTAAATATAACAAATGCAATTGACTGTACTTTTAATTAACTGGAGAGTTCTGAGCAGTAACAAAGATTGTTAAATAAAAAAGAGTAAGAGCGTAGCGCACATGTTCCTTTGAAAACCTTTTGAATGATTTACCGTTCAAGCTGAGACGGGGGAAATAATGTAGCTGTAGTAGTTTCACATTATTGTACGATTAAGTGTAGAGAGATCGAGGTGTCGTCGTTATTATGTTGATCTGAACTAAAGAGAATAATTCATGTGGACTCCAGGGAGGAAAAGTGAAGAACATTCAGTGGTGAAGCCACGTATTTTATGTCATTTAGACTGTGGTTTAAAACATTTTAACAACTTAATTTTCATTTTTGTTGAAGTCACCAAACATCAGAAAGCAGTTCATATTCACCATATTACCCAACCCTAATAAAAAAACTAATTTTGAGAAGAAAGCACTGTAGCGGTGGTGGTTGTAGTTTTCGTTAATGGTGAAGTCCTTTGTGTCATTTCCTTTGATGTTTGAAGGGATCAGAAATAGAAAAAAACAAACACATTCATACTGGTGCAGGGTCAGAGTGTCCTAAAACAAGGCAGGTACACCATCTTGATCTATTAAAGGCACAGCAGCTGTTAGATGGTGTAGTTCTAAACATCTACTCACAGTTTTCAGGTTGTTGGTGGAAACGTCTTGCAGATGGCTGCCAAATATCGCCAGTGAGCTAATGCATAGTTATCCCGACAGTTTCCCCTGCTGATGTGAAGTTGTCTTCAGTAGCCGAGAATTGAGTAGAGGGGTCAAAGGTGACGTTTTTGCAATGGGAGTCAGCAAAATCTCAGTCAGTGTCAGTGTGACACATCAGGTTTCCCTGCTGAAGGTATAGGGAGATAATCCAGAGAATAATTCCACAGGGAGAAAAGCTAGTTGGTTCAGTCCAGAGGTAAACATTGTGATTCTCTCTCCATCTCTTCTTTTATGTCTTTCTTTCTTTTTAATCCGTCTCTTTGAGTTTCTTTCCCTCCCGTCACTCTCTTTCGCTCTCGTTGGCAGAAATACCACCTCTGTTGTTGTCGATGACGAGCTGAACTTTGCTCTGTTCCAACAGTCAAACCTTGTGATTGCTAAGAAGATTAGCACTACTGGCCAGAAGGTCTGCATGTGTGTGTGTGTGTGTGAGATACAGAGATATGTGTGTGTGTGAGTGCAGTGCTGGGGCCTTACTGCAGGTTTCAGTGTCCTCAAAACACGAACATGTGGAAAAAACTAATACTTTTTTGTCTTGTACGTGCATTGGGGCCTCAAGTAATGTTTCATTGAGCATTAGACCTTTGTGCTCACTGTGTCATAAAACACACACACACACACACACACACACACACACACACATTGTTTCCTTTCTAATTTCTCCTATCTTCCTCCATCTCTTCTTCTGTCTATTCTCTCTCCTTCTCTGTCTTCCTTTGTATTTATTTTCACCAGCAGACACTAATACCTTTCTGATCTGATCATCATTTGATCACCCATTGATGCAGCATTGATTCATTTAAGACAGGAACTGATGGCATCAACCTTGACTGCATTCTTACAACACAATGGCCAATGTAAGTGCAATAGTTCCTCTCCTGTTAGCTCTGTTTTGGTCTCCACCAGCTTCTGAGAGAAAAATATGCCTCCTTAGCTGAATGCTCCAAAATGTTCACCAGCTGCTTGAAAACTTTGCATGTCTGATAAATATAAACATTATTGATTGGAGCAACTTTAATCTAAGTACGTTTTGTCAACATTTTGTGTCAAATCCAGCTGTATTTTATTAATTTTTAATATTTTACATAGCTAATAAAAGTTTTCTTTCAATGCACATTTGTCTTTTACTTCATTTTTTTGTTTTGCTTACACTCATTTTCAATTTTACCTTTGATAATTGCAGACTTTGTAGTTTCATCATTTCCTGTCAGCGCTGCTTTATATCATGGAGACCCAACTAGATGTACACCACCAATGACTATAAAACTACTGATAGAACAAGATCTTTTTTTGATGTGGGTGTAGTTATAAATAAACAGTTAAGAATATCGGAGGAGACAGATTTGGGTTATTTATTTCAACTTTACCCAGCTGTCAAACTAACAGGCAAACCGTCTCAATGTTAAGATGTTTCTAAACGTCTCTAGATACTGACGCACTACTGGTCACACCAGATATCTCATCTGCAGTTTTAACTGACAACATTGTAAGACAAAAAATATAGTTTTTTCATTCACTGGCCAGAGATTTCAGGCTACTTTGCGACTAGTGGAAAGAAAACATCCAAAATACAGTTTATTTTACTACATTTTGTCTATTAAATTCAGTTTTGTCTTCTAAATTCAGCAACAAATAGCATTAGATAATGCCTCATTTGCTTATTTTAACATGGAAGTTCAGTAAACTGACTTTTAAGTAATCAACTGGATAAGTGTCATGGTGATATCTGTTAAAATGTTAACCCTATACACCCGGGGGTGTCTCTCCTTAGCAACATAACAAGCTGGCAGTGAACCAGAAGCAGGTTGTGTTTACTCTAAGAGTCCTCTGGGACGTCTGTGTTATATTTGCAGCGAACACGTCTTTGTTCCCACTTGGAAAAGCAGAAAGTATCCCTGCTCTCGGTGTAGCTCGACACTCGCTCACTCAGATCTCAGCATCGGTACGCTTGTTATGTGGAGACTCATCACACCGGTAATCTTTTCTCAGGCGAGAAGAAGCCGGCTTTAGGTGATAACATCACAAGCTTCATTTAGCTGTGGTTGGTGAGAAGCGCTGGCAAAGTGATTAACGCTGTCATCAGTGTCAATAGAATTGATCAGCTTTGTTATTTCCCCTGATTGATCAGTACATAATGGGTTCATTCTTGGAGGAGAAGTGTGTGTGTGTGTGTGTGTGTGTGTGTGTGTGTGTTTCAGTCTTTTTTTTGTGTCTATGTCCTTGTTTTCTAATTGACTGGTGCACGATGGAGCTGTTTCTGGAGAACACCTCTCTGTGTGTGTTTCTGCTCTATGTTCAAAGAAATAATTAGCCAGGGATCAATATTCTTGTGTGTGTGTGTGTGTGTGTGTGTGTGTGTGTGTGTGTGTGTGTTCGCTCTCTTATTGATCCCTTTGTGGAGGCTTGTGAGAGAAAGCTGGTGGTGGTGGTGATGTTGTGTATTGTTTGATAAGATTTTTAATCTCATTTCATTTGTATTCCAAAATGTCATGTTTAATTAAATCAATAGACTGATAAAGTAAAATAGATACAAATGAATAACAAGCACACAATAGAGGCAAATGTTCATTATTTATTAAACAATGGCTGGTGAAATATTTGCATGTCTCTTGCTGGAAGAGGAAGTGAAACTCTAGTTTAAAATCTCTTGGAAAATCTCCTCACTCAGCAGTGACTGTGGGTGAATGTTTCCTCCAGATCAGATTCGACTGCTCCCCTGATGCCCTGGAGGAATTTTGGGTCATTTAGCAAGCTTGTCTGGGACAAAAAAGAGAAAAAAATGTGGCTTGTTCTGGGGTTCTGTGCAGCACCACTGTTTTTATCAGGCTAACAAGCACATTTGTTTGCGTTCTCTCTCGTTATCTCTCATTTTCTCATACTGTCGCTGCCAAAGCACTCATGGATGATGAGCCTCAATTCCACTGCATTGGTTCAGATCGTCTCGACTCGACCCCAGCTCACTTTCGGTACCATCTACTTTTCTCTATTTACTTTCACAGACCGTGCCCCCTCAGTGTGACATCATCTTCAACGCGACACTCGCTGAACCCTTTGAATTGAATAACTCCACCTTCTAGTATCGGCTCAGCTCGCTCGGACCCTCGACCGAGGTGGTACCCAAAAAACGCACCACACACTATCCACAACTCAAGCTCGTGGAAAAACTAAAGAGCGAGCTGAGTACAGAAGTGTCGTGCCATGCAGTGGAAATGTGGCATTAGGAAGATTTGAGGAAAATGGACCATGCTTATCATTTACTGATAAACTTTTGCAGAACAAAATGACTGAAGAGAAGCAGATAGGAAGCTGCTGCATCAGGGTTGTGTCAGTGAAGTTGTGGGATAGTGATGGAGATCATACTTTGATGTCAACCTCCTGGGTTTCTCTTACATTCTGCCTCATCCCTCTGTGTGTGTGTGTGTGTGTCTGCCGGCATGGTTACCAGGCAGCATCCACTTTGATAAGCGTTGTTGTGTTTGTGTGTGTGTTTGTGTGGTCTGATGTGTGGGTGGGTGCTTGTCTGTGTGCGTCCTCAGTGCTGTGGGAACGGATGCTGTGTTTCATTGATTGTACGGTGAGATGAAACGACCTCTCTGTCTCTTTCTCATGATACCAAAGCTGTCTAATTGATAGGAAACAAGTAAAGAGATATCTCCTTTGTGGTTATCACAGCTGTAGATTGTTGCACATGCATATCTGTCATAAGATGGGACAATTCATAAGCCTTTCTGACTTGGGTTGTGTTCGATGTTTGTTTGATTGATTTTTATTTGTGATATGCTGCTTCCAAAACCACTAATGCACATAATTGCTCCAAACACAATCTGTTTAATAATGATTTCTAGAATGCTGTTTAATCATCTCTCACAGGACTTGCACTGTAAACCCTGTTAGCTCCTGTCTCAAATTGTTGACAAAATGTTATACACTTTTTTTTAGGGGGCGGATAACAGTGTTGCAAGTCGGAAGATAGAAATCACAGTTACAGTTTTTGGGGCTCAGCACATGTGTCTCAAAACATCTGTGTGTTTTCTCCACACAGATTATGTAGAAATGTTATTTGTTCCTTTTGCAGACTCTTCCCGCCCGTAATTGACTTGCAGAGTGCAACAATACGCTGCAGGGAGCTTTAAAGTGCAAATGAGTCCCATGTTTAGTAGCTTAAGTAATGTAGTTCATGCCCCTGGCTGTTGTTCCAATAAATAGTGTAGTTATTTAGATTTCCTTTTACGAATCAAGTATTTATTTGTCATGAGACATTAGTAAAGACCGAAGTGAGGTGTCTGTCTGTCTTATCTAATCTAACTATTTAACTGTTGAGCTGAAACAAGTAGTTGATCAATCGATTAATCTGAAACTATTTTGATTTAATTTATTGATCATTTCCATCTTTTTAAGAGAAAATGCAAAACTATAGCTGCTTTTCTCTATATATGTGTGTGTATACACATATATATATATATATATATACGTATACACACACACACACACATATATCTATATATATATATATGTGTGTGTATACGTATATATATATATGTGTGTGTGTGTGTACACGTGTGTATATATATATATATAT